CTGGCCTAGGGGATTTTATAGGGGTTTTAATTACTTTTAATTGGACATATTCAAATATTTCGTTTTAATTAAATTTTTAATTAGGCATAATATGTATATATGTTAGTATTTTATCTAATTTGTCAGCCGCCCTGAGTCCGAAAGGAGAAGGGCGGGATATAAATGCAATAAATAAATAAATAAATAAATAAATAAATACACAGTACAGAAGGAAAACACAGCACAACTGAACAATAACATTTTAAAGGTTACAGCATCAACTCAAGTTACAATATTCACCTAAAGAGAAATCATACTTTATTTCCTACCAATGAAAATATGGATCCTTTCATAGTTGCACTGGTGGACGTGATCCTGAGACCAACTGAGTAATGTGGTAACTCTTTCAGTGTTTCCATCTTGTGGTGTCCACATCACATAAGAGTTTCATAAAAAAGGAAACAATGTTTTATGATTGCCTTTTACAGTGGCATCTAAACATGTCAGAATTGTAAATTATTCAGCCATAGTAGGTACAGTATTTTTATCTAAGTAATATATTGCCTCTGAAAATGCTACCATCGCTGCAATGGGGGTTAACAACCCTGATTTTTCTTCTTGTGTATGATAGTTCCCATGTATGATAATATCACAAGACTTTGTCGTGCGGGTGAACAAAAGCAGACTCAGAAATACCTAAGCAGTAATAATTGCATGTGTATATATTTTGCTGCTCAAAGATTTAAAGCCATATGGGATACTCGGATGTCCTATTAATTTATAAAGACTAGCATAAAATATTTTTACTTGCTATATACCCTAATCAGCTGCCCATCTAGAACCATTTCCAAGGAGTGAAATTATACTTTTAGCATTCTTCAAAATATGTTTCAGTTTCAAAATACTGTTAACTTATGAAAAGAGCTTTGAAACTGAAAGACATTACATTTTCATGAAAGAAAGAAGAATTCCTTGAATCAAATCAACTTGTTCCTCCACTTCTTCCTTTATACCTAAATAAAATATTGATTTAGGAAGCTGAGCTTCAAAACACGGCTAGAAAATAAAATAAATCAGAGCATACATGGTTAGGACAGTATTTAAAAGCCCCCATTATACTCTGGAATTCAAACAAGCTTTCTTCTGAGTTTTCTTCTATCTCCTTCTATCATGGTGCAACTCATATTCTAACGCTAACATTTATCCACACTGTGGATTTCAGAAGTCGTGTTTTTATCACTGAAGCCCAGAGTGCTTGGGTGGGTTCTCATCATCTTTCTTGAAGATTTTGCCTGCTTTAAATGGTGGGCTCAGAGCTCTCTTTTCTGGTGGTGAAAAAGAAACGGACCTCCTGTGGCCTCAGAGCCCCATAGAGACACACACACAAAACCCGTTCAGCTGCCACTCAGATCCAAGGGAAAATACCATATTTGTGTTTGATGCAACTCAGGCTCACCGTGAACAGAGGCCAGCAGAGCTGAATTCAGTCACAAGCAGCCTTGTTTATACAGCTAGCGCTCTGTCTACACTGGCTTTCCTATGTTGGACGGCGGTCTTAAGAGTTCGTGTTTTCAGGCACTGAAGTGGAATGCAACCCAATGTTTACAGTGCTTCTCTTCACATCTCGAGTTGCAATTAATAAAATGAGTCTGACGTATTTGATAGCTGCAGTCTGTCCTTACTGGGAATCCCTACTTTGGATGTTCTTCAGAGCTTCGAGAGCTATTTCATAGCAAAACATGTACTGCTCCTAGGTGAGGAGGAGGAGGAGAAGAAAACAGCCAGTTACTTTCCCAGCAGAGGCTGAAGAAAATAGATAGTTACTTCAGGTTTCAGCACGTCCACGCAAATTCACAATGAAGTAGAGTTATTTGATATGTGTCATGGTCAAAAACAGTGAGAAAGTGATAGTACGTTAAAGACATGCAGTGCTGGTGTTCTAATAAACAAGAACAAAGCAGCCGACTCTGTCCAATTTTACTTTGCTGCTTGTCTATATCTGAACGTCTGTTCCTGTTCTTCCATTCGAGCATTTCCCTCTATAGCAGTGATGGCGAACCTTTTAGAGACCGAGTGCCCAAACTGCAACCCAAAACCCACTTATGCATCGTCGGGTGCCGGGTGGGTGTGGCCCATTGGCTGGGTGTGGCCCATTGGCTGGGTGTGGCCAATTGGGAGGGCGTGGTTGCAGTGGTAATGGCAGACTGGGTGGGACTAAAAAGTTCAATCAATCAATTCCAACTTTGCAAGATCTTTTTTTTCCCGGGAGAAGTTGAAATTGACTGATTGATTGAACCTTTTTTTTTTTTTGCACACGGTGGTGGAGGCCTAAAGCGAAAAGGTTTTATAAAACCCAGCTGAAGGCCTAGGACTGGGGCGACGGCACGCGTGCCCACAGAGAGGGCTCTGAGTGCCGCCTCTGGCACCTGTGCCATAGGTTCGCCACCACTGCCCTATAGGATCGTATATCTGTGTTATTCACTGTGAGTCTTCCCAAGCTGTTCTCCTAAGGTTGTTGGACCAGTTGGCTTCCCTCCAGACAATACCTTTGCTTGCTATGACATCACAGCAGCTCACTGGAGGAACATCTTCACTTAAGCAGGCAAGCAACAGATAGTAGTGCAGGGGGGGAAGGGGAGGGGGGGTGGGAAGACCAAAGCAAATTTGCTCGGCCCCAAAGGAAGGCAGAGGTCAGTTTGAATCATCCCACCTCTAAAGGGGAAAGGTGCCAAGAAGAGCAAGAAGGGGAGGGGGGGGGGCTTCACCGTCTCACCTGGGCCTTCCAATGGACGTTTGGACATCTCAGAAAGCTAAAAGCAAGTCAAAGTAACACAGAAATATGGCGGAAGGAGGGCATGTTCTCCTTCTGTCCTCCTGTCTGATCTCACGCTGTGAAGCAGGCCGGCTTTGCATCCCGCATCTGCTTGGATGGGGGGGATGGGGGATTCATTCGGATGGATTGAACTGGACTTAGGCTCCTCCTGACAACCTGGCACAAACCTGGCACAAACTGGCCTATCCTTCCCCAGCATAAAATAATGCAACCTTTTGTATGCTTAACCTGGCCTTGCGTACGCAAAGAAAGAGTCGGTGTTCCTAACCTTGGTTTGGATCATTCCGAAGCGCTGATTTCTCATGTGGGTCACTATCTGCTTGATGTCAAACTGCAGCATGAGGGGGGAAAAGCTATCTGTTACTGGACATGGCACTGAGCATCTAATTATAATTCTTAACATTTACATAGCAATTTCTAATTTGCAGCAATTTTCTGTTACAAGGACAAAGTTTTGCAAAGAGGAGCTTTAGAAATGCAGAGTTCAGAACCAGAAGCGGGCATTGGATTCAGATGAAACGGTGACTCTTGCTGCTTCTATTTTGGAATCCTTTAAAATAAACATTTTAATCACATACAGTTCATATCAGCCCGGAAAAATGGTTTCCGGAGGACAGGAACAGCCCTGGGACTGGAAGGACAGAATGGCAGAGCAGAGAGAAGCTTTGCCTGCAGCCGGGGGGGGGGGGGGCTTTTTCTTACCCAAGTTATTCATTTATTATCCAGCAGGAGAGGATCTATGAGAAATCTATGAACTGGTCAGTTCTCAACCAATCAAATTCACAGCTGAACGGGTATATCTGGAGCTCAGTCTGGGAGAAACAACATTGGGAGGTAAAACAGAGTCCCTTTCCGCTTGCATTTGAAAAGGCCAGTCACTGGAAGGATTGTGGAGATTGTGTATTTCTAGGCAGGCCTGTTACATTTTATGCTGCTGAAGCTTTAAGAAGGAAACCTTCTTCTAATTTCCTCTCATTCTTTGCAACAGGACAAACACAAACATGTTTGCTTTGAGACTTACACACAAGTCCTTTTCTATGTAAATCAACACAATATCCACGCAAAGCAGCACCCCGCTTCTTCCGATCCCAGCGCTGCAGTGAGCAATGACCGGGCCTGACTGGTGGGATTTTCTCATGTAGCGAACAAATTTGACCAGGTGCTGTAACGATCTGGGAGTCCCGTGGTCTGGCCAGTTTGTAAACTGGAGGTGCTGCACAAGGCGCCTTTCCTGTGTCTGCAACAGAAAGATACACGGACATACAGTGCTTTTTTTGTAAAAGAAAAAGAAAAAAAGAAAAGGTGCCAGAACTCACACACGTCATACAACCCGCCTTGCCTGCCCTACAAGGTTCAATCCAAAAAAAGTGCCGGAACTCCGTTCTGGGCGTTCTATGACCAAAAAAAAAGCCCTGCGAACATATGAAGCGCTCTTAAAGCAATTCCTAGAGCCAGAGAGTCAGAAAGGGTCTTATGGAGCATCTGAAGAAACTTTAGCTCAGGGCAGGCTCCTGGCAGGGGACAATTTAGCATTGCCGGCTGAGGAGAAGCCGCTCCGTGTTTCACAGCAGCCTCTTCCACCGCCTGGGAGCCCCAGAGCTGGAAAGGTCCCCCTGCTCACCAGGGAGCTCTTTTGCCACTGAGGACCTACGTGGGGGCGCAGGGGGGCCTAGAAGGCAGCATTGCAGGCTAATTCGTTGCTCACTGCCAGCAGCTCCATCCTGACCGGCCCAAGGTTGACTCAGCCTCCCGTCCTTGCAAGGCGGGTAAACGGAGGACCCAGATTGTTGGGGGGGGGGGCAACAGGCTGACTCAGTAAACTGCTCAGAGAGGGCTGTAAAGCACTGGGAAGCGGTGTATAAGCCTATGGCTATTGCTATTAGCAATGCCATTTTGGGGACAGACTGTACACACTGACAAGCAGAGCACGATTTTGTTAGAGATGAGCTACAAAACGAAATTACAAATGTTTTGTTTTGCGCAAGATTAGATGCATTTCTAACAGAAGATTCATGCCTAAAATGCTTCTTATCATTGGCTGCCACGACATAAACAAATCTAGCCTGGATTATTAATTGAAAAACCAAATGCTGCATTGCCAGTTGTTGCATTTATTGTGTTAGGGGTGCCTTGCCTGTTTGTTGATTATTTCTATGATTCTAATGACGAAATAATCCAGGATTTGGTAGTTGAGTAGTTGCAGCCGAAAACGAAGTAAATCCAAAGAATTGAGAGGCGGCTCAGGCCAGTATCGGTGGCATTTCGACACTCCGTGTTCCTGTTCTCGTGTAATCATAGCAATGATGTTGGAGTTATTTTCCCAGACCATTCTCCAGAAGTCGCTGGTGGTAGAAAGCAGGGGACCCTGAGTGGAGATGTAGCAGAGCTCTTCTGTGCCCACTGGCACACGGATGTAGCTGGCGTTGATGTAGCCCTTCGCCTCCCCAATGGGTACGCGGGTGGCATCATCTGGAAAGGGAGGGGAGGGGAGGGGAGGGAGGGAGGAAGGAAAAAAAGCAACTCCAATGGGCTTTTTGATTATTCAGTCGCCAAGATACAGAAGCATTGGCAGAGAAATACAGTATATCTGTTTAGATGTTTATACATTATATGGTGCTATTTTTTTCTGTTTTTCCTATTTTGCTAGTTGTCCTGGAAATAATACTATTCAGGAGCAGCTTGTAAAAATTCTGAAGAAATAAAACGCTGCATCATAACTGTCTTCCCAAACTAAGATGTTATAAAATTAAGCAACACATTTAATTATAAACCTTCTGGCTACTGACATGCAGTGATGCTTAAAAAAGTTTGTGAATCCTTTAAATTTTAATATTCCTGCATAAATATGACCTAAAATGTGATCCTAAAACTAGACAACCAATAAAAAATGAGATAGTTGTCCATTTATCCTTTTGAGGAAAATGATCCAAAGTTGGATATATTTGTGGCTATGTGGGGGATCTGGCCGGGGTGTGTGTAAAATGGCAGCCACCGAGCCCCCTCTGTGGACCCTTCGCGGCCACCGTTCCGCCCTCATATCCACGGAGGCTGAATGCATGGCTGCACATTGGGAGAGAGAGCCGGAATTCCCCCGGGTAGAACGGTCCAAACATTAAACATGGGCCAGGCGGTCTCATTTAACTTGGCCTCAGATTGATGTTCCCCCACCCTGTCACCGAGGTGCCGCACTATTATATTCCCAAGGGAAGCCAAAGGCAGACTGTGTTGCCCCTCGTGGCAGTGCCAGCGCCATGCCACGGCTGCCCACTGAGACCAGACTGGTCCCTCTGGGTAGCTTTTAGGGAACCCCTGGAAATGGAGCTGTCCAAGCAGCCTTTCGCAGACATCCACCTCCTGCAAGCCTCGTGGTTCTTACTCTCCTGAATTGGTTTTTGCTTTGAGATTTGGATGGTATGTTTTTTTTTCATCCTGTTGTTTTTATTATAAACTTCGAAGACATGTGAGATTTCACTGGGATGAAAATAGCATAAAGAAACAAAGAAGTATTTCTTACACGGGAGAATATCCCGGTATCTGTTCTTTTCCCGGTTTTCTGGTGCTTTGGCAACCTGGCAGTCATCCAGGGGCTTCAGGTGTTCTAAACTCTAACACAAAGATAAAGTCGGGTATATGATTTTTTTAAACAAACATTTGCTTACTTTAGTTAAAGGAGTGGTTGAAATGAGTTAGACATAATGGATTTGCTTAGCATACTATATAAAACCAGTGACTTATTCCATATATTGTGATTAACAAAATATACTTTAATTTAGTTCCCTTTGAAACTTTTGATTGGCCGATGCTCCTTTCTGAGTACCAACTTGGTGACAAAATCTAACTTTGTATGCAAAATGGGACCCAAAAGTTCATTTCCTGGAAACCATTTCTGCCAGGACTGTAATAACAAAAGTTTGGATATAAGGTAGAGAACTCACCAAAAACTCTTTCAGGATCTCCTGTTCTTCAATTTGTCTTTGAATCTCCTGGATTAGTTGTCTGGCATTATGTCGCAGGCCACCTTTTGACCGTAATGGCTTGATTAGTGCCAGTTGGGCCAACTCCTCTTCATTGACAACTGATGGCCCTTCAAATGATTAGAAAATAATTATGTTTCCAGCTGAAGAGATTGAACAGGCCGTAGAGCTCTATCCAGAGCATTGAACTTCACTCTCGGTTCACGCGTTGCCCAGCAGATTAAAACCTCCAAGGACTGCTGGAGGAACGAGGGGCAGGCGAGCGTCTTCTCGCTGAGACCCGAGAGCCCTCGGTCTGCTTTCCTGTCTCCGTTCGCTTGTTCGATTTCTATGGATGCCCGTCTCAATCAGTGACTCTGGGCCGCTGACCGTTCATAAAATATATTACAATTAAAAAGTAAAAAAATTAAACAATAAAAACAGCAAAGCCAATAAAACAACGTTAGAAACATCCAAGCAGAGAAAGTACCAAGCCCTGCGGCACCCATAAGGGGCAGGCATGGGCTGCTGGTATCTCTCTTTCCCTCTTAACTTTGGGAAAGGAGGCAAACCAGCGCAGCACTCCCCCTGCCCTGGCTCAGATCCCACAGGTGCCCCCCCCCAAGGATACTCTATGGCCAATGGACACTGAGAAGATCTAGGCGGATGCACTACTCCCATCCAAAGTGTGAATGTTTCTGTGAGTGCTTCATAATTGGGCTGAGACCTGACTGAAAAGGGTCCAGATAATCCGTTTCAACCAGGACTCTCTGCAGCTGCCAGGCAGCCTCCTTTGGCAGCAGTACAGACCAAAAATAATTCAGACAAGAAGACATTAAAATGTTAGAATTGTGAATGATGAAAAAAATATTGCATCCCTCCCTCTCTCCCCCCTCCCTCCCCCCCTCTCAAATAAATTCAGATCTGTAGATGGCAAGTTAGCCAAACAGCTTCCTTGTGGGTCCTTGGGAAAAGCCTAATTTAAAGAAGGCTTTATTTTTATCTACTCATTATAATCCAAAATACACTTTCTATATGATTGAGACCACACAGAAGAGGGTTTATCCTTCAGTGGCATTAAAAGGTCAATAGAAGGCAGATTCTAGATACCTTGGGGCAGTGTGGTCAACCTTTGGACTTCATCTTCATCACTGCTGTAGTCTTCTGTTCCTAGAGTTTCCTGCCTTCTTTGTGTTTTAGAGTAAACTCTCTGAGGGCTTTAGAATAACGTTATTCATCTAAGAATTGCAGGTAGACACGTAACATGCTTATATTCAAGTCCCTAGAATGAAAGCAACTCCAAGCAAGCATTAGCTTCCCCCTCTCGTTTACCAGAGAGAATCTCTCAGAAGGAAGATGGCGATAGAGAATTCACCTGTGGGCTAAGAAATAGGCCTGGCAGGGACAGTCAGGAGGACCCTGCAGCCCAAGTGCCCCTGGTTCATGAATGCCCGAGGCAAAACACATGCCAGGTGGATCAGCTTGTATGCTGGGCGACAGACTTCAGGAGGAAAAAGCACTTCCATTCAAGAGGGCCACTCGAGGTCCCCCGTTTAATCACAGGGTCCACCTTAAAACAGTTCTCGCATATCGTTCCGAGGCTTTCCCTGATTCGCTGAGTAACTGAACAGGTATAGGCAGTCCTTGCTTAGTGACCCCAACTGGGACAGGCAGCTCTTTTGTAGGGTAGAGGAACTTGCTCTCTTGAAATCCCTCTCCAATCTCTCCGCTTTGCAAGGACAGGTGTGCGTGTGGGGGGAGTGAGGGTGAGGGTGAGGCAACAGAGAGATGGCCTAATGAAATTGCTTGCCTTTTTCCTCTCCTCCCGCCTCACAGAGTGGAGTGATTGAAGAAGAGGAGATTTCAGGACAGGACAGCCAGCTGTTTGCACTCTGCCCCTGAGGTTCCCAGCCCCACTTGCCAGTGCAGCTGCATTGCTTTTGAGGTGTAAAAGAGCAAGCAGCTTCCTCTCTTGTAATCCCTCTGCTCTGCAAGGGGGAGAGGGGGAGAAAGGAAAAAAACCCCACAGGTCAAGCACAGAACAACACATACTGACTACAATGAATGAGTACACTATGAAGGTCATACACCGTCATCAATGGGATGTATCTTTACAGCATCAACTTAACTTCCAACCATCACTGAACTCACGGTTGTTAAGTGAGGACCCCCTGTATAGTGATGATCCTTCAGTTTGAACTTCTTGAAGCCCCCCCCCCTTCAGGGCTTCATACAGAGGTTAAGAAGAAGCCCAGTGACAGGGCTGATCTTTGTGTCCCTCCCACACAGGGCCATCCCAGGACCAGTTCCTCCACGCAGTGAAGTGTGACAGGGTCCCTCAGTCAAGCCAAGAAACAGCCGAAGGAGGGCCCACCTGGCTGCAGAGGCTCGCAGGGGCATGAGCAAAGGTGGACCTCTTGGCCTGTGAGAGGAAAGGCGAAGCTAAGAGACTCTGTTTCCTTCTACATGTTTAAAAGGGAGCCTTCTTAAAAGGAAAGACAAACCCTGCAGAGCGTCTGTATCGGTGGGCTACACCCACCCATCAGAATCTCGTGGCCAAAGATAGTTACATTGCTTACAATCTTACAATAATCTTGATGAGCTTTAACCTCCTACCTGTTAGAAATGTTTTCAGAATTCCCAGGCCAATCCTCTCTGATTGCAGAGAAGGCTTGAACATCTGTTTCCTTAAAAAAAGAAAGCCTTAATGAATTATCTTTAAATAGGGCAAATTAAGACAATCAGTATATATCCATAAGGGGGATATTCAGGGCTTTTTTTTGGTCATAGAACGCTCAGAACAGAGTTCCGGCACCTTTTTTGGATGGAACCTTGTAGGGTAGGCAAGGCAAGTTGTATGACGCGTGTGAGTTCCGCCACCTTTTTTTTTTTTTTTTTTTTTTTTACAAAAAAAGCACTGGGGATACTTGTAACTTTTCAACCAGCTAGCAAAATCTTTACATTATTTTTAATTATAGTTTTATACTTGATTTCAGTTTTTCCTTACAAAATATCCATTAAGAGATTACGGCAAAGAGGTTAATGCTGGAACCGTGTTGAGTATTTTGGAATATTTGCAGTGGTGGGATTCAGCCAGTTCGCACCACTTTGGCAGAACCAGTAGCTAATTTTTTGTTGCCCAGGCCCAGAATGGACTTACGGAAGCGGCATCCACACAAAGAACTGGTTGTTCACCTATTTGAATCCCACCACTGAATATTTGGAACATACAGTAATGAAAAACAAAAGCTGTGTTGATTTTTTTAGATGCAGAGAAAGCTTTTGACAATTTGAATTGGACGTTTCTGTTTAAAATTTCATGAATTTTGGAGAGAATTTTACATAATGGGTGAAATCGATTTATACTTCACAGACAGGGTAAATACTTGTTAACAGAAGCCGCTCTAAGGAATCTTGAGCTTCAATTCTATACAAGTAGTTCAGAATACAGGAAAGTGTATAAGACTGCATGGATAGGATGCAATAGGATCCAGCAGCTTGCAATTAAACCATGGGGTATATTTTAATTACTACTGAACGTAGCAAAAGAATGCACATCCACATTTTGAAAATATGCAAATATAAACAGCAAAATTTAACATATAAATTTTATGCACGTCTTGTACTGCTTCTACAGCTGACCTTGTTTGGCTCTATGAACAGTTTTTATCTAGTATCTAAAACCATTCCAGCATTGTGATATAAATGAATATTTTTGTCTCTCTTTTCCTACCTAAGAAAGCTTTCTCTCTGCCAAGGGGCTTCGCCTAAGGAAATTGACCTAATGGTTAGATTTTACAGTTTCAAGATCACCTCTCCCTTGCTCCAAATTTCCAGTTTTTGAAAAAGAAACCTCGAATGATTCCCTTATCCTTGAAATCTGCATTCCTGCTACTATGTTCCCATACCTTCTTTGGATGCCTGCTATCCAGCAATATTACAGACCCATAAACATCACAGGTAGAGGAAAGCTACAGTTCCATTCCTCCCTCACCTGATGGCTATATGGTTGACTGGTACCGTCCCGATTTTGACTGGCTTTTTCAAGGTTTCGGCCGATTCCTTCCTGGTCTTGACTGGATCCCTCCATGTGATGGCTTGCTGCACTTCTCACATTCCCAGGCCACCATATTCATCTGAACAGAAGAATCAATATTGGGCACTCTGAGTGACAGAAGAGAGGCTTCAAGAGCTTAGTAAACAAAGCCGAAAGGGTGTCAAGACCTCTCTCCTTCAAGTGACTTGAGCTGAGTGATGGGAACCGAGTCCACAAAGAAAACTGGTCAGCATCCTGAACAAAATACAAACAACTCGCTGCTCTCGAGAGGAGAGACACGGCTCCAGCCCACAGGAGCCGCCCAGGCAGGCGTGGACATGAGGGAGGACTAATGGGGAATTCGGAGGGATGTAAGTTTCCTATCCTGGCTTAGGATGATGGCAGCTGTACTCTTGCCCATCCGTAGAGCTGCGGAAACTCCTCTAGAACATGAAAGTCTGCTTAGGATAAAAGACATTTTTCACTCATGAGAAAAATAAAAAAATTCATATTGACTTGGTGTACCAAACTATTGACAGTGTAGATGAAAGGAACCAAGTAAAGAGTTATATAGTGTTCCTTTACTTGTTTAGGCCATTATAAGATAATTTATAATTCATTCAAGCTGTCTGTATTTCTGGCTATTACACTTTCAAAACTGGGCCGGGAATTTTTCTCTCCAAGGCAATGCACATCGACACCACGATCTATAGAAAAGGCAGAAGCTCATTTAATCTTCAGGAATTTAATTGGGATCCAAACAAAAGAACAAAAACCAACCCTCAAAACACTACTGCACTTGTGCTAGTTCACAGTACCCGTGGGGCGCCCAGGTGCTCCGAGCCTCCGCCACCTTCACCTTGGGGGCAGCTTTCCAACTGCCACACCGGGAGGTGGAACTCTGGGCCTCCCTCTGTGACGTCACCCGGGTTCTGGCAGCTGCCCTTTGCTTTCCAGGACTTTGGAAACTGCCAAGCGCACTAGAGCCTTTGCTACAATTCTATATTCAAAGATTGACTCTTTAATGCAAAGTCAAAAACCTCCTTTCCCCCCCCCCCCCTTCAAGTCAGTGTTGACTCCTGGCAATTGCCTGGACCAGCCCCTGCGGTTTTCTTGGGAAGATTTCAGAAGTGCCTTCCACTGGCCCCCTCCCCCTCCTATGGGAAGATTGACTGTTCTATCACTGAGGCCCGCCGAATGTTGTAATATGGGTGTCTTTATGTCACAGTTTTAGTTCTCTTCGGTTAAAATAGGACGTAAGGTAACTCCAGTGTGGGTCTTATGACATCCTTTCGAGTCCGAAGTTTAGGTCCTACCGTCTCTTTTATTAACTTATAAGTACAGGAGGAAATTTTTTTTCCCCTTTCATAAGAACCTCTTACAGAAACCCATCAGGTGCAGATGGGACTTCCATCCGTGTTTTTTAGCAGAGTTTTTTTTAACTCTAACAACATTGGTCTGCCAAACCCAGGCTCTGCGGAGGCACATCAGAAAAGAGCTGGAAGGCACCTTGGAGGTCTTCTAGTCCAGGGCTTTTCAACAGGTGATACGCGTACCACCAGTGGTACTTTGGCACCTGGCAGGTGGAACGCGACCGTCCTAGAGAAGTGATAGCTGAGGGGGAGAGGAATGTGCACACAAGCCTGGGGGAGAGAGAGCTGGAGCTGCAGGGCTGTCGGGGCTCGGCAGAGGCGCCAGGATCAGCGCCGGGCTCCAGCTGATCGGCGCTTACGGGAGCTGGAGATGCCCTGAAAAAGGAGGAGGGGGGAGAGAGGAGAGGATATAAAAGGTTTTGGCGGGAATAGGCCAGCGAGGGGTTGCCCCTGCCCCGCCCCCTGGGCACGCGAAGAGGCGACGAGTGCCCACCATCCCTGCTGACCACTGAGAAAGAAAGAAGGCAAGAGAAGCGCGTCTCTTTCCCCCAGGACGCCAGCCCTTGTGTGCTTGCAGTCTTCTCCGTGCACCCCCAGGGGTGGGGCAGAGACGGCGGGGGGGGGGCTCGCTGGCTCCAGGACTGCCCCGTGGATCTAAGGCTGAGCGTGTTCCGGCTTTGATGGCCTCCACCAGCAGATCAGCACCACGCCCGCTCGCTGACCTAGCCTCGCAGCCACCGCCAGGCTTCCCTTTCACCGGGACCGTCCCTGCCTGCGTGGGATAGCTGGGGCCGGCAGCAACATGGCCACTGGCAATCTCTCCCCCTCCCGCCATCCCTTCCTGAGCGCGAAGGAAGGAAAGAAGGAAGATTATAATAAGAGGGAAGGAGGGTCTGAGGGAAGTCCTGCCTTAGCACTTGGCCACAACCAGCCCTTATGCCCTTATGCCCTCCCCTTGTCCCCTCCTCCTGACTCTTCTGGTGGCCTCCCATCCTATCACTGAGGATGCTTTGGTTACAAAGCCATGTCTCCTCGCATGGAGAAGGAGTGGGCCTCCCTCTGACCCACACATTTTGCTCTCCCACACACACCATGAGCAACCTGGCCAAGGAGAGCGAGCCAAGCAGCAGCCTGGAGGGTAAGGTAAGCCCAGCCGGGCACCCCCTTGGGGAAGGCTGGGCTGAGCTGGGTGCTTGCCCTCCACTGCTCAGGGCTCTGGGCGGCCTGCATAGCCGGGGGTCCTGAGAGCAGAGGAACCACCACCGAATAAATTAAAACTGGTACTTTTTTCCTTTTTTTTTTTTTACGGTTTGTAACTTTTTATTAGATTATGGAATAAAATACAAAAATACAAAAGCAGTAGGACGCAGTGGGGAGGAGGAAGGGAAAAAAGTGAAAAGGGGAAAAGGCATTGACTTTTGACTTCCTCTCAGTGGCGTAGCGTGGGTTGTCAGCACCCGGGGCAAGGCACCCCCCCCCTCCACAGTGGGCGGCGTTGGCGACCCGGCGGCTCGGATCGGATTCGCACAGCCAGCACTGCAGAGAGAGTGAGTGAGCCAGGCAGGGGCAGAGAGCTGCGAGTGCGAGCGCACCCCCCCAGATGTTGCGCCCGGTGCGGCCGGCCCCCCCCCTGCATCCCCCACGCTACGCCTCTGCTTCCTCTGTTGCAGTAGAATGAAGCATTAACATCAAACATCAACTTTTTAGTTTTCCATAATATAAAGTAGCCATTTTTATAGCAACAAATGAATCTAAGCAGTAAAACCTAAAATGCGCCCCCCCCCTTTTTTTTCAGTCATCAGGTTTCTGCTAGGCACTGGTGGTACTGGAATATGGTCAGGTCCTAAAAGTGGTACAATCTGTGAAAAGGTTGAAAAGCCCCTGGTCAAGCAGGAGCCCCTGGGCCGTTTCAGACAGGGGGCTTGTCCAGTCTCTTCTTCAACGCCCCCCGTGATGGAGCACCCACACCTTCTGTTCCCCTGGTTGACTGTCCTCCCTGCCAGGAAGCTTCTCCTTCATTCCAGGTTGCTCCTCTCCTTGATGAGCCTCCATCCGACCTTCCTCGTCCTCCCTTCTGGCGCCTTGGAGAGCAGGTGGGCCCCCC